TGTTCTTACCTTAGCATGCACTATATATTAATATTCTTACAGTTTGTGGGCTTTTAGGATTTAGTTATGCCAAGGACAAACATTTTTGGTGTACCATTTTGTCAACTAGAGAATACGCTTTTCTGAGAAGCTTCTCTGATGACATTTATTACATTTCTATTGGTTTTCAAATCCACAGCCACCCGAAGAGCTCTGAAGAACAGCAGTACCAGAAACAGTCACACTCCTGCCTTTGCACATTCAGGAAGAAGGCACTGCATGTTTCTCACTTAAGTAGCCACCTCTGCAACCACTTGGTCTAAGCAGAGAAATTCTGCATCTGCCTGTTTATCCAAGGGCTTGTTATGAAAATTCCCAAGTGGCCCATGCCAACCGAGGAGAGAGGCTAGGACCCACAGTATAGAATTACAAGAGTAATCCTTTTATTCATGCACATGAAGTGTTCCACTCAAACCGGGGCACCCAGAATATGGCTTTACACATAGTTTTTCTAGCTTTCAAGAGTTCAGGTACAACATGATTTGACAGGAGGCTACTTAACACATACACACACACACACTCTAGCACTTGCAAAGAAACTGTGCTTCTATGGTGGTATCATCCACCTGCTTCTCTATGATGCCAGACAATGAGGGGGTTTCATAGAGGTGTTAGAGGAGCTAGGATACTGCTCTTATCTCGGTTGTCTGGGGGTATCCTTTAAGATTCAGGGAAGCAAAGGACCCTATTTCAAGGGGGTCTGTCCTTCTCCTGTGACAAGCTGGGGTCCTTCCATTTGTTTGCTGAAGCATGACTAGTCAGTACACAGTGTGAAATCTCTCTCTCTCTCAAGAAAGTTAATACAATTTCATACTATAAAGACTCACTAGTGTAATACTTCGGGAATGAGATTTTCCTAAGAGGCTCTCAGTACCCAAGAAAACGTTTCAGAATTGCTTATTACTCATTTAGCAGCTATGTTCATTAACAGACCGCAGAAGCTCACAATTTTTGCTCGGGCCTCTGCCCGCTCCCTGAGCCCTTAAGCCTTCCAAGCCAGACTCGCGTTACTATAACACCCTGTCCTTTCAGACAGCAGCAGAGGGCAAGAACCTGCACCCTCAGAAGAGGCGTTGTCTCCCAAGACCTCTCTGCCCTCCACTGCGGGAAAAAGAGGCCTCATGTCAACTCCTGGCCTGCCTTCTACAAGGCTGCGGGCAAATCCCTCCT